TTCTCTCCGGCTCCCCCTCCAGCGCCTCCACGCGGAGCTGCAGCTCAGGGCGCTCCGACCCAGTCAGGTGACCCGGAGGGAAGAAGTGGCGCGAACTGCAGAAACCGGAAGTCCCGCCCTCCGCGCTGGGCTCTATGGAAAACGCCTGTCCTGGACCCTGATTGGCTCCCGGCTCTGCACTTCACCGACGGCCTTCTGGGTAATGAGGCTCTGAGGTGCAGGTGGGGTGGTGACCAGGCCTTTCCCACCAGCCTCCAGGACAGCGGTTCTCAACCTGTGGGTCGCGACCCCGTCGAACGACCCTTTCACAGGGGTTGCCTACGACCATCGGAAAACACATAATTACATATTGTTTTTGTGGTTAATCACTATGCTTTATGTTCAGTTTGTAACAATGAAAATACATCCTGCACATCAGATATTTACATGACGATTCATCACAGTAGCGACATTACAGTTATGAAGTAGCGATGAAAATTAACTAATAAAGAATTTTAAAAAATTTAAAAAATTAAAAAAACAAAATAATTTTATGGTTGGGGGTCACAACAACATGAGGAACTGTATGAAAGGGTCGTGGCATTGGGAAGGTTGAGAACCGCTGCTCTAGGAGGAAAGGCTGGGACCCACCGCTAGGGATGCTGGGACATGACAGTCGCTGTGCCCAAGGGACTCCTGGGAAATGGCCACAGAAGGCGGTCATGGAGCCCTGGCCAGGGCGCCCGGGTGATTAGAACACCTTCCTGATGGGCCCAATGCAGCTGGGATCCCGGGTGAGGGCTCATCAATCAGCCAACGAAGGTGTCAATAAGTAGGAACACAAACCGATGCTTCTTTCTCCTTTCTCAATAACTATAAAAAACCGCAAAGTAAACACTTTTTAAATATATATTTTGTTACTGATTTGGGAGCGGAAGGGAGAGGGAGGGAGATAGAAACATCAATGATGAGAGAGAATTATTGATCCGCTGCCTCCTACTCGTCCCCCACCTCAGATGTTGCTTTCAAATTTGAGAAAATTCCAAACAGGCATCACCTAGCTAGACTAGAGGAAAGGCTTTTCTTGAGCAGAAAGGAAGTAAAATAAGAAAATTATTTAAATGGCAACCGCTTAAATAGTTGCCTCAGTTGTGAGAACCTCGTTTGTTATTTGTGACTGATCTCTCTTAGGTTTCAATTCTTACCAGTGAGGCATTTACAAGATTTTCCACCGTCCACATGGAGGCTGCATGGCATTGGAGCCACCTCAGTCTAATGGCATCCTTGTTGAATGACAGTTCCAAGCCCAAGAAGCAGGTCGCTTCAGTGTCTGAAGGTTCTGGGAATCAAGACCTTATACCAGCAAGCAGCTTGGCCCACTGCAGACACTCAGAGGGTGTCCCCTGGAAACCCGAGCTCAGCTGCCCTTGCTGAGTGAGCACATCGATAGCCCCATGGACTGGAACAGGAGGTAACCATCCTGGTGTTCACTAGTTAAATTCTCAAGGTTTCACCTCTGCACCAACCCTGCCCACCAGCACCACCTGGGACTGCTTAGAAATGCTGCTTCTCAGTACCAAGCCCAAACCTACGGAGTCACTTTGGGGGTGAGCCCCAAGAATCAGCACTTTGAGGCACCTTTAGGTCGTGCAGATGTAGAGTAAAACGAATTGCACCTCTTGCTGTGGTTCCTGTGGACAGGGCACTAGAGATCATGTGACAACCATGAATCTCCTCTACAGCTGCAACATTTCACAACTGAGGTTACAAAAGTTGGCAGGACACTTTACCTCAATAATCTTAATTTTAAAAAACCACAAAGAAACACTTCAGCCCTGGCCGGTTTGGTTCAGTGGAAAGAGCATCGGCCTGGGGACTGAAGGGTCCCGGGTTCAATCCCGACCAAGAGTATGTCCCAGGGTTGCAGGACCAATCTGTGGTCCTGGTCGGAGCATATGTAAAGGCAACCAATGAATGTGACTCTCTCACATCAATATTTGTCTCTGTGTGTCTCTCTCGCCCACTTCCATTCTATAAAAAATCAATGGAAAAAATATCCTCAGGTGAAGATGAACAAAACAAACACAAACTTGCCCGACAGGTTTGGCTCAGTAGTGTTCCCCGCAGACTGAAGGGTCCCAGGTTCCATTCTGGACAAGAGCACATACCTCAGTTGCAGGTTCCATCCCCAGCCCTGGTCAGGGCCCATGCAGGAAGCAACCAATCAATGTCTCTCTCTCACTTTTATGTTTCTCTCTGTCTCTCCCCTTCCCTTCTACTCTCTAAAAATCAATAGGAAATATCCTGGGGTGAGGATTAACAAAACAAAGAAATTTAATACACAAAATGTCCAAATTTCAATTGTTTATTAATAAATTACAAGGCCAATGTATGAAAAAGAATGGTCATTTAAATTGCGTTTTGCACGTGCATAGACTGCAACTTAAATCTAGGAAGGTTGATGGGCAAGTCAAAAGTGTAACATATTTACACATCCTTGCTATATAAATGAACTATGGGTAATTTTCAGTCTGCATGTTCAGGGATACGAGTTTCAATACAAACAGATGGCTCCAGAATGTTACACAGAACAGAAAGTTACATATTCTCAGCACACTTTAAGGCAGTGATGGCGAACCTTTCGAGCTCGGCGTGTCAGCATTTGGAAAACCCTAACTTAACTCTGGTGCCGTGTCACATATAGAAATTTTTTGATATTTGCAACCATAGTAAAACAAAGATGTATATTTTTGATATTTATTTTATATATTTAAGTGCCATTTAACAAAGAAAAATCAACCAAAAAAATGAGTTCGCGTTGGTTCGCCATCACTGCTTTAAGGACTTACTCCAGTGTGAAGTCTCTGATGATAACGAAGTCTGGAATGAACGATAAATGATTTCCCACATTCACTGCACTCATAAGGCCTTTGTCCTTTGTGAAGTCTCTGATGATAAGAGAGAGTGTCACTATGGGCAAAACATTTCCCACATTCACTGCACTGATAAGGCCTTCCTCCTGTGTGAACTCTCTGGTGTTTAACCATATTTGACCTCGAGCTAAAAGACCACCCACATTGACTACACTGATAAAGTCTTTCTCCTGTGTGCACTATCTGATGATTCTTGAGGATGAAACGACAGGAAAACGATTTCCCACATTCACTGCACTGATAAGGCCTTTCTCCTGTGTGAATTCTCTGGTGTTGAACCATATTTGACTTCCTGCTAAAAGACTTCCCACATTGACTACACTGATAAAGTCTTTCTCCTGTGTGCACTATCTGATGATTCTTGAGGTCGATACGACGGGAAAACGATTTCCCACATTCACTGCAGTGATAAGGCCTTTCTCCAGTGTGAAGTCTCTGGTGTGTAATAAGATAAGATTTTTGGGTAAAGCTTTTCCCACATTCACTGCACTGATAAGGCCTTTCTTCTGTATGTGTTTTCTGGTGTTTAAGAAGGTAATAGTGAAGGGTAAAAGATTTCCCACATTCACTGCATTGATAAGGTCTTTCTCCTGTGTGGATTTTCTGATGACTACAGAGTTTGGATTGAATTGAAAATGATTTCCCACACTCACTGCACTGATAAGGCCTGTCTCCAGTGTGAATTCTCAGATGGTAACGAAGCCCATATTGAGAGGTAAAAGATTTCCTACATAGACTACATTCATAAGACTTTCTTCCACTATGAACTATCTGATGTTGAGTGAGGGAAGACAGTTGGCTAAATGATTTCCGACATTCAAGGGAGTCATAAGGCCTTTCTCCAGAGTGAACTGTCTGTTGTCGAATGAGGATGCATCTACGGCTAAAACATTGTGCACATTCACAGCACAACTCACAGTATTCCCCAGTGTGACTTCTCCAGGGATAAATGAGCACAGATTTTGGGTGAAAGGACTTCCCACAATTGCTGCACTTGTACTGCCTTGGGCCACCACGAAATCTTCGATGCTGATTGAATTTATCGCTCTTCACAAGCAGGGCCCTGTCCACACAGCTTCCGAAGGGCTTCTTTGCCAGGTGCTGCTTCTGGTGAATTTGGAAGTTTGCACCCAAATAAAATTGTTTCCTACCTACCCCACACCTGACCACGTTCTGGCTGCGTGGTGTTCCTTGGTGCTCAGCCAACTGGAATATGTCTCTCAAGATGGGACCACAGCTCTCACAGAAGTGGGTCTTCAGGGAAGACACAGCCGCCTTGGAGGGGCTGGACGGTGACCCTCCTACAGAAGCACTCTGTTCACAGGGAGCATCTGCATCCTCTGATCCACAGCAGGGACCTGAACACAAATAAACGCTGGTGAAGTACAGGTTGACTAAAGGAATGGGTTAATGCCATCACAAATGTATATTTATCATATGTAGAAATGAGTTTGTGGGATGCTGTTCAACAAAGGGAATTAAAATATGGCCACTGGGCATGACTAAAAGTATACTTCTTGTATGCGTTTAATGGTTATCAGATTAAAACTAAGTGCTATAACTCTAAGATGTTTTAAGTAACCCTCATGGTAATCACAAAGCAAAAGAAATGAAGGAAAAGAAATGAATGCATACCACTATGGAAAAATAATTAAACCAGAGAGTTAGCAAGAGAGAAAAAACAAACAAAACAAAACAAAAAACGGTACAAAACATGTACACAAAAGTTCACAAGACAGACAACAGAGGACGAGGGTGAGGGCAGGATTTGGGGGGTGGGAGGGGAATGGAGGGGTAAGGACACATTTGTAATACCTTAATCAATAAAGGGAAAAAAAGAGTTAACAAGAAGGCAATCCTCAAGTACTTACAAAATTATCAAGTTATACACAGTAGCTTAACTTATTAAAAAAACAAGTTTAGCCCTAACCGGTTTGGCTCAGCGGATAGAGCGTTGGCCTGCGGACTCAAGGGTCCCAGGTTCGATTTCAGTCAAGGGCATATACCTTGGTTGCGGGCACATTCCCAGTGGGCAGTGTGCA